CTTATTAATGACGTTTTGCTTTCTTCACAATCGATGTTCTTGAAGTCCTCCCATAGCTCATCAGGTCTTCTGTCAATAGCGTTCAATGAGTCAAATCTGTTCTCGAGACGGTCTCCAAGTTCACATGGCGTACACTCAAGGTTGCATTTTGGCTCTGGTGGACTTGTCTTAATTTTCTTCAGCTTCAGCCTGAGCTTACACATGAGCAATTGATGGTCTGTTCCTTAAGCAGCCTCTGGCCTCATTTTAGCTGCTGATAGTGAGTTTCTCTATTGTCTCCTCTCATAGATGTAGTCAGTTTGACTTCTATGTATTCCATCTGGAGAAGTCCAGGTGTATAGCCACCGTCTGTGTGGTTGAAAAAGGATATTCGCTACGAACAAGTCATTGATCTTGCAAAATTCTATCCTATGTTCTCCAGCTTCATTTCTATCACCAAACCCATATTTCTGATGGCTGTTTCTTTCTTTTTGTTTCCAACTTTTGTATTCTAATCACCAATAATCATCAATACATCTGATTGCATGTTTGCTCAATTTCACATGGAAGACATTGATAGAATTCTTCAATTTCTGCATTACTAGCTTTAGTGAAAGGTGCATAAATTTGAATAATAGTTGTATTGACTGGATTTCCTTGGAAACAGATACAGCCCTGTCACAGATAGCATTACACATCAAAATAGATATCAAAATGGCCTTTTGGATGATGAATGCAATCCCATTCCTCTTGATTGTTTCGCCCCCAGTATAGTAAACCTCATGATTCTCTGATTCAAAATGGTCAATACCAGTCCCTTTCAGCTCACTAACACCCAAGATAACGATCTTTATGTGTCCCATTTCATTTGCGACAACTTCCAGTTCTCCTAGATTCATACTTCGTACATTCCTAGTTCCAATTATTAGGAGGTTTTCTGCAGTTGTTTCTCCTTGTTTGAGCCATGCCCCGGTCAGCAGATGAAAGGCCTGAAGGCTTTCCGCCCACAGGCTTTGCTCCATTCCTGTCACTGTGGTCGACTCTGCTGTGAGAAGGCGGCTCGCCTCAGTCATCTGGTGTTAGAGTGCCTTCTAAGCTGAGGGGCCGTCCTCTGGCACTGTCTCTGGCAAAGTTCTGCTTCTGCTCATTAGGCCATCAGTACCTGACAATGTTTCAGTGCTGTCCTTAAGGTTCTCAGCAGCTAATTCCACTGAAGTGGCCAACCCACTCCTTCTTTGTGGTCAGTTCTTATTCTGGAAGCTCTCCTGAAACCAGTTCAGTTTGGGTGACCCTGATGGTGTTTGAAATACCAGTGGCATAGCTTCCGGCATCACAGCAACACACAAGCCACCACAATATGACAGACTGACAGATCAGTGGTGGGAGGGTCATGGCAGTGAACTGCTATTGTTCAGTCATAGAAAGGGCAGAGGGATAGATAGCCACAGGCCTTCATAGAGGACTCCTACTTACAAAAGCTGCTCACTGGAGACAGTGGGACAGTTCCGGCATATGTCAACTGACAGACACAGGTTTCAGCAGTCTTTTTAAGACTCTGCAATTAATTTTCTTCTAGCATTTTCACTCTGACAGAAATATGATCTACAGGAAAGGGAAGCTACTGAGAGGGACACCTGGGAAACCAGAATTGTCCTTCTCCTCCTCTCACCAGAATGAAAGAAGCTTGTAGATGTACAGAAGGGATTGCACTGAGGGAAAGGATAAAATTGGGCTGGTGGGAAGAGGTGATTGGTGTTTACAGGGATATGAACCCAGGGTGGAAGCAGGAGTACAGGAATGCTACTTCTGTTTGTCTGATAGGAGGAAGAAAGCTTGAGTGTGTTGAGGTAGGTGTTAGAGATGGGGGCTGAAAAACAAATGCCTGGTTAGAAAGGCAGTGCCACATAACTATGGAAACAAGAGTTAATCTAGCTAGAGGAAGAATAAAGGAACTCTGGTGTTAGGCGCTGTGTTAGGCGCTGTGTTAACCCAGTGTTAGGCGCTGGGCTGATAATCAGATCGGCAGTTCAAGCCCAGCAGCCACCCCTCAGGAGGAAGTTGAGACTATTTTGCTTCCACAAAGATTTATAGTCTTGGACACACTGTGAAGGGTTACTGTGGGTCCGAGTCAATTTGATGGTCATGAGTTTGGGGTTAGAGGAGGAACAAGTCCCTATGTGGTACAAACTGCTTTCCACATCTAGCCTTAAGATCAGTGGAAGAAAAGGCCTGGCAGTCTGCTCGAATTACAATGACAACCAGAAGACCCCTTCTACAGATGGCCATTAGTAAGCATCAACTCAACCCAGCTCAACAACAGGTAGCAGCAACAACACAGGAGAACAAGGGCACCTGCAGAGAGAAGCCGCGATACACTGGAGTCGGGACGAATCAAGATGTAGCGATGCAGATGGTGAGGGAAAGGGCAGAGCTTGACCGGACCTCGGCTCTGACCCATCTCTTGGTAGAGGCGTGTGAGTAATTCATCCTCCACCACCACCACCACCGCAATTTAGCTCCGTTTTCCCATCTGTTCAGTAAGGAAATGGTGTTTGACATTTTTTTCTCTGCTGGAATGTGTTTAATACTTGGAGTTTCTAGAAAAGAGACCAGGGTGTCACCCTTCACATATTTACAAGGCTCGTGGGAGTCTTTGTAGATGCACTGACAAAAGGTCGCTCTCACAGTGTATCTCTTCAGACATTCTTAAGCCAGTTCTGGGTGGAGAGCACACAATTGAGCCTTCTGGGAGCAGCAGGAAGCGCTGAAGAACAGAAGGTCCCAACACAATGACTCAGTCTTACCAAGTGTTACAGCAGATGCCACCCACTCTCGTGGGTGTTGGTAATCTTTATTTAATTAGGTTGCTAATGAAACATCCAAAATTGACAGTATCAGTCTTTCAAGTCATCTTAAATGCCATTCTTGACTAATAAATGAATTACTGTTTGCTTTTGTTGAATTAACAGCCTCCATTTTGGTTCTTGGTACAATGTAGATACAGTATACTACTATTAACTTGTTCCATGATAGATGTAAGAAATTGGTATGTGTAAGGCATACATATCTATATCTATCTATTTGTCTATATCTGGAGTCTCTGAGTGATGCAAACAGTTAACTCACTCGGTTGCTAACTAAAAGGTTAGTAGTTCCAGTCCACCCAGAAATGCCTCAGAGGAAAGGCCTGGCAATCTACTCCCAGAAAAGCCAGCCAGTGAAACACCTGTAGAGCCTAGTTCTACTCTGGCACATGTGGGCTTGCCAAGAATCAGTGTCAACTCAACCATATCTGCTTCCTGGTTATATCTCTATCTACATGTGCACACACACACAGAACAAAACAATGAAATAGATATATGGAAGTTTTCACATACACACGTATATATGTACAGCATACATATAAACAAAGATGTGTACACTGATACCTATATTCATACAGTCTTAGTTATCTAGTGCTGCCATCACAAAAATACCATAAGTGGGTGGCTTTAACAAGCAGAAGTTTATTTGCTCACAGTTTAAGAGGCTAGACCCTTCAAGTCCTTTGTTCACTCAGTTGCCTTTTGAGATTACCACGTGCTTGCCACTGTGCTAAACTTCCAATGCACCCTAAGTGTGTTCTCTACCCTGAAAGTGATCCCACCCAATCAGCGAGAGAAGGTGACCATGAAAATGGTAGAATAGAGTCCCATCAAGTTCAGAGGGGAGGCCCTAGAAGGTCCATGAGGGAGAGAGCCAGGTCCACTTGGGTTGCTTCTGAACCTACAACGCCGGACCCAGAGCCAGCCCTGGAGAAGGCCCCCATGCTCCTTCCTTGCTGGAAAGAAGGAGTGAAGGCAGGAGCCCGTTAGAGTGACTTTCCTGGAGGAGAAGAAACTGGAAACAGATCCTGAGATGGATGAGAACAAGAAGGAGCTAGGAGACACCAGTAATGGAAGTAAGCGTAATAAGCTTTGGGGAAAGGGGAGCTTACCTGATTGGAACACACGATACATATCCTGATGATATATTAGAAATAAACATATCCGCGGGGAGAAAAAAAAAGAGTAGAAAAAAAAAAAGAGCAAAACCATAAAAAAAAAAAAGAAAAAGTCATTTTCAAGGCAAGGATGGGAGAATGACGAGGGAAAGACATTGTTTGGCTGATCAGGAAGAGCGGGAAGGGAGAGAGGCTGATGGAAGGAAGACCTCTTGGGAAATGGGGATGCTGAGATAGGCAATTGGGTGAGAGTATTGAGAAAGAGCAGAAAGGAGCAGAATTGCAATACTTTGATGGAAAATGCAACCAAATCCCATGGCTGGCTGGGGAAAGGTGGAGCCAAGGTGACTAGCAAGTAGTACCAGGTAAAGACTCAGGAAAAAGAGATGGCCTGGGAGAGGTGAGAAAGGTGTTGGACATGTTGATGGGGGCACAAGATACCCTACGAGAGGCATTGGTTGAGAGAAGGGCAGAGATTTGGGCACTGTCAGCAGAGAGGTTTTGAGGGCACTGTGTAGGTCTTCATTGATGGCTACTAATCGCTCCCCAAATGTGCTCATTGGGATCCACTCTTTGCAAAACTGATATTAATAGCACACTACAATGAACACGATCCTCCGCATTATCTGAGGTAGACTAGCAGCACTAGACACAGCATTAGGCCAATTAACTGGGTTGACCTAGGAAACCATGGCTTTAAACCTTAAACCAAGAGACCCAATCCAAGGAAGTATTTGGTCATACATAAGGAACCTTAGTAGCTATTGACTAATCATGTTTTAGAAGTTCTTGTTTTGGGGTGGGAAAAAGGACAAAGGTCAAATTGTGAATGATTTTTACATTTGGAGGCCATCCAAGGGAGTGAAAGCCGACCATTGAGTGACCCAAAGGACTCTTCATTCTCTGTGGGGAAATTATACATAGCCTCTGTGTTGGGTCAGCTGACATTTAACACAACTGTTGGTATAAAATGATCTAGCTACAGAGAGTGATGCAGAAGTAAGCTTGCCTGTGGCTTCCCTCTCCACTGTCTCTGCAGGCTTCTTCCATCGGGATCTAAAACCTGAGAACCTTCTCTGCATGGGACCAGAACTCGTGAAAATTGCTGACTTTGGACTGGCCCGAGAGATCCGATCAAGGCCTCCATACACGGACTACGTGTCGACCAGATGGTGATTCCTGGTTTTCCTTGCATTTCTTTGGAAAGGATCACCTTTCCATGGAGGCTCATATTAGAGGCATAAATCCTGACCTGTCAGTGGGAGAAGCAGAGAGGTTTGAAACATGGAATTGTTGGTAATTCTATAAGGTTACAAGCTTGTGCTATCATGAATTGATTTTTTTCATCGTATAAGTAATATTTTTTAGATAGTTCTTTTCTGGGGGCATTTTCGCAAGATTTGTGCAAGGGGTCACATTCTCCATAAACCTGTGTGGGAAATTGCTATTTTTAAAAATAGCCAGACCCTAGGAAATTTGGAGTAAGCACTTTGCCGTGGTGACAAAGTCGCCTGAATTCAGCAAGTTGTGCCCTGTCCGTGTGTGTGCTTGTTTCTCAGACACGCTGACCGGAAATGCCCCATGGTAGGATGCTCAAACGGAAATGGTGTGAAATAGAGAAGTGGGGTTTTGTAGCATTGATAGAAAATAGGAATGCATACACGCTTACACTGACACTTGGCTCTTGGACCTAATCTCATTTCTGGCCTGTGGGAGCAGTCACCAGCAGCTAACCTGTGTCCCCTCCCCCAGGTACCGGGCTCCAGAGGTGCTCCTGAGGTCTACCAACTACAGCTCCCCCATTGACATCTGGGCCGTGGGCTGCATCATGGCGGAAGTGTACACTCTGAGGCCGCTCTTCCCTGGGGCCAGTGAAATTGACACCATATTCAAAATTTGCCAAGTGTTGGGGACGCCGAAAAAGGTAATGACGTGGAAGCAAGGAAAGAAGCGAGGCCATGGGGCAAAGCCAGCTGCTTCCGCTGCTGTCTCTCTTCACGCACTGCGGGTGCTGTTCGTTCTAGAACAGAGGTTCTCAACCTTCCTAATGCCACGACCCTCGTGTTGTGGTGACTCCCACCCATAACATTATTTTCGTTGCTACCTCATCACTGTAAGTTGGCTAGTTATGAATCATAGTGTAACTATCTGATGTGCAGGATGTATTAGGCAACCCCTCTAAAAGGGTCATTCCACCCCTAAAGGGGTCACTACCCACAGGTTGAGAACCGCTGTTCCAGAACCTTCCATCTGGCTTCAGAAAGTCTCCTCTACTCATGCTCTCTGACGCTGCTGTCTTCTTTTCTTCCTTCTGCTCTGTGTGATGCTGTGTCCTGTCAGGGCCATGGCTGCCGTCCCTTGCATCACCTCACCTCCATTGCCAAGCCTCGTGGTGATAGCGGTGACACCTAATCCGAAGTCGCCGAAATGCCACCTGTAGCCCTCGCTCACTTCATTCACACAGTCAGGCTTCCCTTGACCCTCTGGCCCTCACCCCTTTTCCAGCGCATCTGGAAAGACTGCGTCCCTTGGACCACCAAACCAGCCCCCTTCTCCAATGCTCATTTCTCTCATCCTAATCCCAGAGCTCCACACTTCTTTTCTCTCCTCTTCCTCCTCCAAGCAGTTAGTCTGTAAACCCTGGAGACTCTCCTTGCATGACATCTCTCCCATGAGGACCCGCTGCCAGCATCACAGCCTGGGCCATGACACACACCGGGGGGGGGCACCCCCCCCCCCGTTATCTTTCAGTCTAAGGCCAAGGTCATCCTCCAAACAAACAGCTCTGCTGCTGTCAGCCCTTCAGAAAAATATCTGTTGATTTCCCATCGCCCAGCTCCCTTAGCGCTCCTCTCTTATGCCCACCGAGGGGCCTCTTGCGGCACAGTGGTTAAGCTCTTGGCTGCTTACTACAAGGCTAACTGCTGAGTTCAAATTCACTAGCAAAGAAAAAAATGTGGCGGTCTATTTCCATAAAGATTCTATCCTTGGAAACCCTTCATGCTCCTACCTGCACACCTCCTGGCTATTTGTCCTCAAGTGTCTCCATGTCCTTACTTCTTTCCGGATGCCCTCTGCCTGGAGTCAGTGTTTCTCACGTGTCCCAGTTCTACTTCCCTCCCAAGGTCCTCTGCCCTCGGCCATCTCAGTGTTTCTCTGGCCTCCTCCTCTTCACTTGCCACTCACAGGCTCCTCCCTGTCACATGGCTCCATCTAGCACTCTGTATCCATCCTCCCCACATTAGGTCGTCTTCTTTCTCTTTGGTGGTACTGCCCAGCACTGTATCTTCTGCCCACTGCTGTCAAGGTAACTCAGGCACGTAACCACTGCACCACAAGGGCTCCCTCATTACCGTATGAGCTTCCATATTTGGTAGTTACTTGCCCACCCCTCGGGTAGAGTGCCCTCATGGAAGGCAAGGACGCTTATTCCCTGTGCCTAGCACAATGCCGAGTACCTAGTAAATCTTCAAGAAACACTCGCTTCAGAAGAAACGACTACAATGCACCACCTACAGTCCGGAATCTTTACCATGGCGTGGGAGGCCCAGGTCCAGGTGCCTGTCCTACCTTTCTTTCTATCCTCCTCCCCTGCCGCTCCCCTGAGCTCTCTCTTCAGTGTGCCTTGCCTATTATGCCTCTGTACCCTGGCACATGCTGCCCCTTTGCCTGGACTGTCTGCCCCTTAGCTCAGTATGAAGGCCCTGAGCCCGTTAAGTTGAGACTCAGCTCACTTGTCACGTGGAGGAAGCTGCCCTGAACCTTGTGGGATCTCAGGAGCTCCTCCTGAGACGCTCATGTTACTTGGTGTGTGGTGTGTCCTGGGTCGTTCATTTAGTTATCTGTGTACCTGTTTGCTTGACCTTAAACACATGCGCTGTAAGGATTTGTCTTTGTTTATACGCTAGCACCCTTGCTGGCATGCCCACCAAAAATATATTAATCATTTCCCTCAGCAGTTTTATTGGCAAATAATTCACATATCAGACGATTCAATAGTTCAAGCCCATCAAGAAGAGTTGTACAAACATCACCACAGTCCATTTTAGAACATTTTCTTCGATCTTCTACTCATTGTTATTAGCTCCTCATTTCCCCCAACCTCCCCTGCCATAACCCCAAGGGGCTATTAATCCAGTTACTGTCTCTATAGATTTACCTATCCTGGATTTCAGATACAGAAGAACATATTTTTTAAATGAATAAAAATTAACAGGTATAGCAAAGTAAAACAGATGAAAATCTCATGAGAAAAGAAAGCAGGGAACATCAAAAACTAGAACAAACTTAAATGGGTCATAAGGAAGACCAAACGATAGGGTGCTAGCTTTTAACCTAGCTTCATCGGCAACAGTCCACTTTCCTATGCGTCTGCGCCCTAGCCAGGCGACCACCTCCTCCAGAAGACCCCTGGAGGCCTGATGGAGGCCCTCTCGCCCAGGTGCCTGTACCTGTACCTCTGTGGTGGCCTCGGTCACATTTTTACTCTATCATTTTTGTTTTTCAATAAATATCTTTTTGGGGGGATACTGGATTCTTTCTGATTACTTAATAGCACCAAGTACGTAGCAAGCACTCGATAAATAAGTGAATGAGTAAGTGGAATTGTTATACAGAGCTACTTTGCTTGAAGAGGGAGAGAGAGAGAGAGAAACTATGGCATCAGGATCTATCTTGTAAAAATAGTAAAATGTTAGCACGAGAAGGAACCCTTGCTCAGCATGTTCCCTCGTTCGCTCTAACGTTTAGCGCCCAGAGGCATGGCGCAGGAAAAACTGGGGAACGCAAGGTTGGGTGAGACAACTTCTACCCTTCGGCACGTCTCCGAACCGTGGTGTGCTGCGTATGTTTTGAATTGTTAGGAGGGGGATTCAGTCAGATGTAGGGCTTCACAGACGCATTGGTCCAGAAACAAGGAAATTTGTTTTTCTCCCCAACATACCGATTAGTAATTCCCAAGAAGCGCTGTCTCGTGGAACACAGTTGAGGAAATAAACCTAAATTGGTTCAACCCTAAAGCCCAACGAGAAGGCTTTCCTGTGTGAAGTGCGTCAAGCTGATGGTAAACCCTCGGTCGTCTCCACTGCCCCCTTCCAATCTTTTGCTGTGTCCTCGGCCGGCTCTTTGTGCGTGCCTGTTTCGCTGCACAGTGTCACGGTCGCAGAAGGACTGCCTCGCCCATGCGGCCCACGTGCCAGGATGTCAACCCCTGGCCCAGCGGTGGACTGAGCGAGATCTTCTCTCTTCCCTTCTTTCAGACCGACTGGCCGGAGGGCTACCAACTTTCCAGTGCTATGAGCTTCCGCTGGCCGCAGTGTATACCCAATAATCTAAAGAGCCTGATTCCAAATGCTGGCAGCGAAGCCATTCAGCTCATGAGGGACATGCTGCAGTGGGACCCCAAGAAACGACCAACTGCTAGCCAGGTTTTCTTCTCCTTTATCCTACTTGATGTATTGCTTAGGAGGTTCATACCAAGCTCTAAATGTTTTCCGTAAGTCTCGTGGGAACCGCTTAATTTGGCAGTGCGGGTGAGATACCACTGATGGGTGGTATGGTAGTATACAGACTTAAACATCATTTGAAACGTATTGTGTGAGGTTAGAGTAGTTGAGCTTTACACAATCCCGTGCCTTTGAAAACTGAAATGTAATTCCTGTGCTCCGGCTCCCGATGTGGGGACACAAGCAGAAGCAGCTCTGCCTGTTTTTGGAGACCATTGTAAAATACAGTGCCTTCGGGAATGCAGAATCTGCCACGATCTGTCGTGGCAGTGATTTATATTTGGTTTGGCCTAAGAAAGGTCCCTGAGTGGCACAAATAGTTTGCACTTGACTACTGGCCTAATGGTTGGAGGTTTGGACCCACCCAATGGTCCGAAACATTCCAAACTCGGTGCCACTGAGTTGATTCCGACTCACAGCAACCCTTTAGGATGGAGGAACTGCCCCTGTGGGTTTTCAAGACTGTAGCTCTTCACCAGAGTGAAGCCTCATCTTTCTCCCGAGGACCAACTGGTGGTTTCAAACTGCCGACCTTGCAGTTAGCGACCCAAAGCATAACCCATTATGCTACTAGGCCTCCTCAGTGGTACTATGGAAGACTTACAGCAGTCTGCTGCCATCAAAGTTACAGCCAAGAAAACACTACGAAACAGTTCTCCTCTGTAACAGATGTGGTTACCATGAGTCAGAACAGACCCAGCTCAGTGAGCGCTAGTGAGGAGCCAAGGGGGCCTGGTGAGTAAGAGGTGGGCTACCATCTGAAAGAGTTACATACAGTCTTGGAAACCCAAGGGCAGTTCTGCCCTGCCGTCTAGAGTTACTACGAGTCAGCACTGCTTCGATGACAGTGAGCTGAGTGGTACATTGAGTTACTAGTTGAACCGCTGACCACAAGGTCAGTTGTTCAAACCCACCCGCTGCTCGCCAGGAGACAGATGAAGTTTTCTGCTCCGATAAAGAGCGACCACCTCGGAAACCCAAAGGAGCAGTTTTACTCTGCCCTGCAGGGTCGCTTGGAGTTAGCACTGGCTCAAGCACAGTGAGTCTGGAGTGCTGTTGATGTTTTCGAGAAGAAATTATAGCACACCCTTCACAGGAAACAGACCCCAGTGATCCCGATGGTGGGGCACCTTCCTGGCCACCCGTTTTCCCTAAAGCAGCCTTCTCTGTCATTCCAGGCCCTTCGGTATCCTTACTTTCAGATCGGGCACCCTCTCGGGAACACCACCCAGAACCTCCAAAATTCAGGGAAACCACAGAGAAACGTGCTGGAAAAGGCAGATCCCCCTCCGCACATGAAACCCGTCCCTCCTGCCCAACCCCCAACCAAGCCGCACACCCGGATTTCTTCTCGACAACATCAAACCGGACAACCCCCTGCACACCTCGTGTACCCCTACAAGGCAGAGGCCTGCCGGGCAGCGCACCCAAGCCACCTTCCAGAGGACAAGCCCAGCCCGCTGCTCTTCCCGGCCCTTCACACCAAGAATCCTCCTTCGGTAAGCCAGAGAGTTCCAGCCAGGGGAGGGGGCTCTGC